ATCTCAAAATATTTTGTAGTCTAATAATCTATGATTGATTTCAAGCATGGGAATGTTGTTGGTAGAAAATACTAGTTTTCTAATGATATTTTTTATATGCCATAATGCATTCTCACATTCTCACATTTTCATTTAGAAAGAATAGCAAAGAATGAGCATAGTTCTATGCACATATACATGGATGAGAATAGTAAAGAATAAAGAAAAAGAAAGAAAATAATTAATTGTAAAAAAAAAATAAGAGAAGAGAAGGTTGTTGCGATGGGGAACCCATGAGTGATAGAGATGAAGAGTCCCACATACATGCCGCCTTTAGTGAGCGGCCTCAGAATCAGAAAAAAGTAAGTCTACAGTTCATTAGAAATGTATGTGGATGAGAATTGTACCAACAAAATTTACCTACATGCACACCGCCTTTAGTGAGCAGCCTTAGAATCAGAAAGAAGAGTTGTACAGTCCAATAGAAGTGCATGTAGATGAGGACTGTACCCACTCACATGGCTAGGGTTCTGAATCCATGCCTTAACTGAGTCCGATCGGCATAGAAAGAAAGAATAGAAAGAAAGAAAGAAAGAATAAAACGAAAGAAAGAGTAGAACGAAAGAAAGAGTAGAACACAGAAAGAAAGAACAGAACAAAAAGAAAGAAAGAACAAAACACAGAAAGAAAGAATAGAACAGAAAGAACAGAACAGAACAGAAAGAAAGAAAGAATAGAACACAAAAAGAAAGAATAGAACAGAAAGAAAGAAAGAATAGAACACGGAATGAAAGAACAGAATAGAAAGAAAGGAGAGAAACAGAAAACAGAAAAGAAATTGCATTCTTTATGCATTTATGCATGCACATGCATCATGGCATTCATATTATTCAGAATTAGTTTCTCCAATTGTGCTTACATGTTAGTAAGTGAGAAACAAGAATAGAGAAAGAACAGAGAGATAGAACAGAAAAAGAATAGAGAAAGAAGAGAGAGAGAACATAAAAAGACTAGAGAAAGAATAGAAAAGAAGAGAGAAGTGTGATGTAAGGAAATAATTCAGAATATGAGCAACGAAGATAGGAGGGTAGCATGGCGGGTTTACTTACTGAGCAATTAGTGCTCACCCGATTGTTTTCAATGTTTTTGCAGGTAGTAGATGAGATGCGGTCGCTTGGAACGTCAAGATGCGGAAGGGTCGGGCAACACTGTCGAGCTTCTTGAGAAATTTATTTACACTATGTATAGTTTTATATATATAGAGTTTTACTGTTTATTTTACGAGTATACTAGCTAGAAAGAGAGTTATTATAGTATGTGTCAAGAATATTCAAAATTTCCACCTTCAATGCATCAGTAATTTTACCATTTTTACCTTAGATATCTCTATTTATTGAAATTGACTTTTTTACATTTATTTCATATTTTTGGTATTATTCTTAATATAGTAAATAATAAAATTTATATTTTCATTTAAGGAAGTGAAAGAATTTTATTGATAAAGAATTACATTTATAATTTAAATCTTTATAACCCATATTCAGATAATCCAAAATAAAATGATAAAATTTGTTTTTTAAAAATTCATTTGACCATAAAAATTACAATACTTTTTACCAATATCAATATTGATATACACTATAAGACATACATAGCAAAAATGTTAAGCTATTTAGTTAAAACCTATATTTATTAAATAAATTCAATATAATAGTCCACTTCATTTATCAATGTTCATGGTTACAAAATCACTTATTTGCTTTAACCAAAATTCCACAACATAAAAAATACAAAATACATTGTTATATAGAAAAGAAGGGGATAATACTAAATCCCTGAGGTTTGGTCCAAATTGATTACCCCCTTTGAGTGTATTTGGTTATAGGTAATCTCTCATTACTGAGGTATTGTCAAGCCACCCAAGAGGACTGTTGGCAGTCGGCCACCACCACAGGCCATCGTCGACCAATGTCATTAGAATGGGCATAACCGATCGGATTTGGTCGGCCATGCGCTGATCTGGCTGTGGATCTAGGCTTTTTTGAGTTGGGCAACTGTCGGTATTAAGCCTAATCTAGGCTGATTTTTGCATCATCGTCAGCCCTAACCACCACCATATTACTTCTCTTATTTTCCTCTTCAAATCCCACCAAACCCCATCACCAAAGCTGCTCCCAATAGCTAGCGAAGCCCATTGTTTTTCCGCACGATTTCCCTTTTTCTTAGCACTTTTTCAGTCGTGTTTTCTATCGGAAATCACCCCTACTTGCACTGATCGACTCCCCTTCACCTCCTCTTCAAAACCCCTCAAAGAACATATCCGTTGCACTTCCCGATCGACGACCGACTGTGGTTTAGGCGGCCGACGATGGTTTAGGTAGTCAACAGTGGCTTGGGTGGGTGGGGCTATTTTTGTAAAAAATTAAACTTTATGTGGCTGGAGTGTTTTAGCAAAATCTCAAATGGAGGGGGTTAAAAAATATTCAAAAAATAATAATAAAAATAATATTATATTAAATTTTAAAAGGAGGGCAATTTAGTAATCTATATAACATACCCACCAATTTATTCCTTCCAACCAAACATATCAATATAACATATTCACCAATTTATTCCAACTAACCAAACACATTTTCTTAAACATTCACAGTAATCTTCAAAGTAATCTATTTTTCCATTAATATAACATTTCCAGTATTATAACATTCCCTGAACCAAACACACCCTTTAGGTATGGGTAATGACGCAGAACCCCCTCAGGTCGCTATAGTGGCCTCTTAAAGGTGAAGACCTTGGCTATGGATGAGATAAAAACAATAGCCTTTAGGGGGCGTTTAGATCATATAATGTCTTATTATAGAGGAATGTTATATTAAGGGAAAGATATATCACCTTGAAGATTTCTAGGAATGTTTAGAAAATGTGTTTGTTTGGTTCAAATAAATTGGTGAATAATATGTTTGGTTGGGAGGATAATTGGGTGGGTATGTTATATAGACTATAAAACACCCCACCTATGCAAAACTTTAATTTGTAGCAAAATAACCCCAACCACCCCAAGCCACTATCGGTAGCCAACCACCATAGCTGGCAATCGACAGAATGACGCATGACTGGTTGTATATGGTCGGTTATGTGCTGACAAAGCCATTTTTAGCCATGGATCATAGATCCATGGCCATAGATCTAGCCGTGAAACAGTATAGAAACGATCAGATTTGACCAGAAAAAGCCTTAACGACGCACCACCGGCCAGATCTCGCTGGTCGTGGGCCATTACGGCGATTGCCACTAACGACTAGCGGTGGTGGCCAACGGTGGTCTTAGGTGGCCCGTGGCTGGGGGTATTTTGTTAACTTTTAAATTTTTTTGTGGTTGGGGTGTTTTAGCTAGTTTCTCAAATGTAAGGGAGCTGAGATTGTTATTTGGTAGACATTTGAGGGCTATTATGTCCGAAATGGTATTTAATTAAGGGGGAATCTTGAAAAAATAAATGAAGATTACCCCGATCCAAACACACCTTTAAAAGTGTAGTTTTAATAGGAGGTGGCTGTGGTAGTTGTCTAGGGAGTGGTGGTGGTGGGGAAGAAGAAGTGGTAATGGTGATAGGTTTTTAGGGTTTGAATTTTTTTATGAATTTGATTTTTTTTTAATTTTCTTTAATATAAATTAATATTTTAGATTCATTTTACTTATTTGTCTTCCTTGATGTTAGAATTAACAATACGTAAGTAACGATAGGGGGTTCTACGTCATTACCCATACTTGAGGGGGTTTGTGTTGGCCCAAACCTTGGGGGGCTAATTATCCTAGAAAAAGAAGAATTAATTGTCACGCTTTTGCCTATGACTTGAAAATTCACATCATTTTTTTTTATTTTTATTTTTTTAATTTTGAGCTAAAAACATTCTAGTCTTTGAGGCTTGATAAAAAATCTGTCATCCTTGAATAAAAAAAGGTGACACTTTCGATTCAAAACTTATGAGATATTGACAATTTTTTTTTTTCCTCACAAACCCAATAGACATTACATAAAAACTAATTGATGAATGACAAAATCGATAGTTAATGTATAAATACCCATAGATATAATCAATTCATATGTTTTCTTTTTAGATCTAAAATTATTTGTTTGGACGATTCATGAATCATATACTTGCCTTGTAACCAAACGGGATTATTTACATAATTTCACATTTCACTTTCATTTTGAGTTGTGACTTTAAAAACGGGGGATGGTATTGTTATTTTCTGAAACTAAAGGGGTGGTGATGACGTAAAATTAATCTCGTCCTCTTAGTTTCAAATACATAGCCGAAGAAGGGCTTTCATGTAATTTACTCCCGTGGGAAAAATTTCCACAGCAGAAATGCAGAATAGAGCGAATTATCCCGCCACTAGTGGCCGCGCTATATTTTGAAAACCTCACTCTCACCTATCCCTCTCTCTCTGAACTTTCACCTTCTTTCTCGACGTCGCCCGCCACCGAAGGTTCCACCTCCAGACCATACCGCCGTAAAGCCACAACCAACAATTAAGGCTCGTACGCTTCCATTCTCAATCAATTTCACAACTTCCTTAAAATTCATTTCTAGGGTTTCACTTCACACTTCACACTTCACACACCATACGTGCGTCGGTAGTCCATTATCAATACCGTACATGCAATTCAAGTCATCTTTTATTCTTTTATCAGTCTTAAGTTTTTATAAAGACTTATATTTTTTACCGTGCTGTAGAAAAATTCACTTGAATACAACACCATCGGTACGGTACATGTATTTTAACAACTAATGTGTTGTTAATTTTGTGTTTCATTTTATTAGCCTCGCGTTTTATGTTATTATATTAATTTTTATTTTTGTATTATTAGTTTGATATTTAACGTTAATACTGGAATTTGTATTGCTGTGTTGTGGAAAATTGTGTTATACTTAAAATGTAAATGTTGTATTTGGGTTTTTGATTTTCAATTTTTTTTTTCTTAGTTTTGACTGGGTTCTCGTTGATTGTTCAGATTACTTGTTTAAAATGAGTGCCCATCTCTTTGAATAACGAGATAGGGGCAATGGTAGTCTTTATATGATTCAATTGTTTCGCAACTGCCATTAATTCCTAATGGACTCTAAATTTAGGAGATGCTACAAAGTTGTGAAATACAGGCAAGGTACATTGCTATATTAATTTTTTTTTGTTGTTTTTAACTCTATTTTTTTGCTTGTTCACATGGGTAGCTTGGATATGTTCTTTTTTAATTTAATGAGGGATTAATGTTTTGTTTGTAATCTCTATTTCTTATATGTTTACTTTGGTAGCTTGGATATTCTGTTATTTTTACATATTAATGGATTTCTCTTATGGTTGATAAATTGCTTGTAAGCTTTAATTTCTTCAATTGCTTTGATGGGTAGCTTGAGCAATTTGGTCATTTTTGATATTTTGAAATTCAACTTGGACTTCAATTCCCTCATTTTCATGTTATACTTTGTACTGAGTAGATTTTACATACCAGGTTATTATATTCAGTCATGACCTTTGAGCAGGGGGGTTATTCATCAGAAGTAGTAGAATATTCTAGCCCATGAATGAGGAAAAGTATATGAGGTAAGAGCAATAATTATTTTGTATCTATCTCTCGAGTCCTTTTCCTTTTCTTATCTCAATTGGCTAATAGTTTGAGATTGATATAAAGTTGGAGTAATTCAGGTGAAGGTGACAAATGTGATAACAAACTTCCTAAAGTTAATTGGTTGCAACATTTCAATGCCCATGATAATTTTGCGCACCAGAATAAGTTCTTGTGCTCAAATTTTCTTTACTCCTTGGAAACACAAAAGCCTCGTGCTGAAGGAGCAATGGCTACAAGGTGTGTTATATATATATACAGGCACATTTTGATTATATGGATCTAATAAATATCTTCTAAGTTTCATATTTCGGGATACAAACTTATTTTGTTTCGTATTAGTGTAGAATTCTATGGTGCTAAATACTAAAATTGATGTTTAGAAACTTGGCTGTACACATATTTGACTAGGCAATGAATTCCATATAAATCTCTCTCTTGACAAATGAAACAGATTTCGGTTGTTAGTGATTGTAGTTTTATGGTTCAGAGAACTAAATGTCTGCTATATCAGTTAAATCTCATAACATCGATAATCTTTTTCTAGTTTTCTGTTGCAACTCTTATATGGTGCTCACTGTGCTTCTTGCTAATGATTAGACTATGATGTTGTCATCCAAGAAATATGCAGATTTCTTTTGCTGGAATTCTAGGTTATAATTGCTTTATTGTTTCTGTTAGTTTTCTGAAGCTGCTGATTGAAAACTTTTGGGAAAAAGTTTTTTGCATGATGTTTTATACTTAAATAGATCTATTAGACATTTTGGATGATCTGCACTCATACTTAACTGAGCTATTGATTCTTCTGACAAAGATCTTGTCATGTCGTTTAGGTTAACAACCTGTCAAATTCAGAATTTTCAAAGAGTACACAGTGCTGAATTAGAAAAGGTAAAATTGTGAAGCAGCATTTATGAGTTGCTATTTGTGCTCTAGGTTGGTTTAATGGGTTGTTTTCCAACTAGAATAATTCTATATACTAAGAAACATGCTATCCTTTTTTTGTTTCAATGGTTGTGTCCCTAAACTTTTAGTCTTTTGCATTTCTACTGGCAGTAACTTGATCTGCCTTGGCTTTTTCTTCACCAAATTTTCTATTTAAGATTTTAATTTTCTTAAGAGTTCAATTGCTTTTGGATGGAACACTTTTGGCAGGCTTGGCACACTCTTTCCTGTCTTCAGATATCCTGCAGGACTTACAGAAGACCTGGAGTAAGTATTCCAGTTAAGAATGCTGATAGTGATTCTTCACGTGATGTCAGCAGAAGAGCTACCTTACAGAGCTCATTTGGTAGTAGTAAATATTCTGAACCTATGTATAAACATCAAAACCTCAGCCACAGCAATGTGAAAGTTAGTGAACCAGCAAGGGGTATTGGCTGTGTTTATTCACCGCATAATGCTAGAGGAACGGAAGCTGGAAAGAGTCATGGGGGGCAAAATGAGATTAAATCATCTGTGGTTAACAATACTTGCACAAAATTTTCAAAAGGATCATTCACAGATCACACTGAGCATACTAGCCAAATAAATAAGTCTGCAGAAGTTTTGGCTGATGACGCGGACGATGATGAAATACTCAAGGTAACTCATTTTACTAGGTTTAAATGAAATTATATTGGTTTAGTAAAACAGCATGCAGTTTATCCTTATCAGAAATCATTCATATTGAAATAGTTAAGTTTTGAATTAGCTTGATGTAGTCATCTAGAATTATTTGACTATGGAAATTCATTTTATTCAATTGAATTAATTTAAATATTACAATCTGCAGAGATTGTTTTGCTATTGCATTCATTTATGGAACCTTGGAAAAATACTATTTAGTGATTCTTTTATATAAGTTGTGAATGAAATTCCTCACTTTTATCTGTCTAAAGTTAAAAGCTTTATGGTTTATTTTCCAACTGACAAGTGGATTGTTTGCATTCGTCTATCTCATGAATTGTTTTTGTTTTTTATTCAGAGTATTGATGTGGACCAAATTGTCATGGAATACCAATCAACTTGCACCCCTCAACCATCAATTTCTAAGTTTCCTCCCATAACTCCAATCGCAGATAATGGTAAATTTGCAAGGCAAGATCAGAATCTTTTGCCTCCTGAATTGTCCTCAAATTGTAATCACGGATTTAAGGTAAATGTACTATTTGCATTTTGTATTGTACTTCAATCTTGGACTGGTATTAGTTTTTTGTGCCTGATTTTTGGAGATTGATACAGCTAGGGCTTTGCCTGGAAGCCACTTGTCATGTAAAAGAAATGAAGGACATGTTGATTGCTATATCCAATGAACTGCTTGACAATACAGACCTGAGTCCGGCACAAATAGAGAAGCTTCGCCAGGACAGGTTACCGGCGTCCTCCCTTTAGCCAACCCTTTTATCATTAGTGCTTTTTTTTTCCCCTATATAAATATTCAATTTAGAGTTTTAGTTATTGAAAAACAAATATATAGTGAAAATACAGTAGGAAAAAAGTTGGTTGTAAAAATTCATGTTTCAAAGGATTTGTTTGGATATTATGAATTTCATCGTTTGTGTTGCCTCATTTTGTAAATTTAGCTCCTTGAGGGATCATAAGATTCATAACAATGAAATTGTTTGATTAGTGCCTTATGCATGTACACATGTCCATTTTTTAGGTTGCATTTGAATAAGCAGATTCAGCAGCTTGAGGGATACCTTCGTGATGTGGAAAGACAAAAGTCGCATTTTTCTGCATCCACAACCTGCCCTTTTCAATATGAAACACCTCAAGCAGCTTCACTAAGGAGATTTGATTCCCAGGTTCATATCCATAATGGAGTAGAAGGATATGAAAAGTGGAATTCATCATCAATTCCATTCTCTTCTGTAGATAGGCCTAGGGTTCCATCATACTCTGTGGAGAAGGAACCATATATCCCAAAGATTATTGAAGTTAATTATATTGAAGGTTCAAATGACCGAAGGTGGAGTAGTGGGGATTTCCCATGGACTAAAAAGCTGGAGGTATGTATCTGAATTAATTTCCTTTAGTATTTGCATTATTTCTTCTGATTGTGGTTTGCCTTCCTTAAATTTCAGGTCAACAACAAGAAAGTTTTCGGAAACCACTCATTTCGCCCCAATCAGAGAGAGGTCATAAATGCTACAATGAGTGGGCATGATGTCTTTGTTCTTATGCCAACTGGAGGGGGAAAGAGTTTGACTTATCAGGTAAAGAGTTTTTCTTATGCTTTGTTCTTTCTGTTTGGAAAAAAGTTTTCTAGCTTTATAACTTGTTTCTCTATAGTTTTTTCTGTCTCAATCTATGGTTATGTTCAGTTGCACGCTTAGTTTGTTGGCTGAACTTGTACCTAGCAAAATTATTAGTGTTTTCAAACATCTTCTTAGAACTACGGTAGCATATTAAAATGTTTTTGGAAAATAGCTTTCAAATTCAGCTTCTTATTGGCAAACACTATTGATAGTTCAAAAAATTTTGTTAATCTTATGAAATAAAACTTATTATTTTTCACATTATATGATTTTTCACATTTCTACTTTATTGTCTTACAGCTTCCTGCTCTTACATGTCTGGGGATAACTTTGGTAATATCTCCTCTCGTATCACTTATCCAAGATCAAATAATGCATCTATTGCAGGTAACATTTGTTGTGTTACTAATCCAAATACTTGTATTAGTATTGATTATCTATCAGCTTCTTATCTAACAACAGATGTAATTCGTCATTTGGTTTGTGCAATAGGCAAATATACCGGCTGCTTATTTGAGTGCCAATATGGAGTGGACTGAGCAACAGGAGATTCTTAGGGAACTTAACTCTGATTATTGTAAATACAAGCTATTATATGTCACGCCAGAGAAAGTTGCCAAGTGAGTGTTACCTATATCAATTGTATTATTCAACCATTATTCATCAATATGTCCAATAAATATACTTTTGCGGCATTACTTGCCCAGTATTGCTTCAAAGTTAGAAGCTCTAGATTTGGACATGTTTATTTTAAGTGACAAATGTGGAGCAAATTAGGTAGAGTTTGTTTCAGGGAATTTTTTATCACTGAAAAGATAGGATTACCACTAAGATAGATTACTTTGAAGATTAATAGGGGAATGTTATACTAATATGTTTGGTTAGTGTTACAAACAGAGAACTGATTGTAATTTTCTTATTTCTGTATTGATAAATTATACATCAATATATAGGAAAATAAAGAACTAATCTAGGGAATGAATAATCTGATAAATTATACATCAATATATAGGAAAATAAAGAACTAATCTAGGGAATGAATAATCTAACTTCCTATTTTACAGATTTGTTCCTAATATATATTCCAACTCAGCACCCTTTGAGATTTTGAGAAGAGTTGCTCTTTGGAGAGCACAATATGATGGAAGTTGTAAGCTGTGTTCGGCCGGGGGTGGGGGGCGGGGTTGGGGTTATTGTCTATCGTTGGAGAAGACATGAATTGACTTACTGCACTGACAGAGTACGCAATATCAGGACGTGTGACTGTTAGATAGTTCAACTTTCCAACTAGTCTTACATGAATTGTTTTTGTTTTTTATTCAGAGTATTGATGTGGACCAAATTGTCATGGAATACCAATCAACTTGCACCCCTCAACCATCAATTTCTAAGTTTCCTCCCATAACTCCAATCGCAGATAATGGTAAATTTGCAAGGCAAGATCAGAATCTTTTGCCTCCTGAATTGTCCTCAAATTGTAATCACGGATTTAAGGTAAATGTACTATTTGCATTTTGTATTGTACTTCAATCTTGGACTGGTATTAGTTTTTTGTGCCTGATTTTTGGAGATTGATACAGCTAGGGCTTTGCCTGGAAGCCACTTGTCATGTAAAAGAAATGAAGGACATGTTGATTGCTATATCCAATGAACTGCTTGACAATACAGACCTGAGTCCGGCACAAATAGAGAAGCTTCGCCAGGACAGGTTACCGGCGTCCTCCCTTTAGCCAACCCTTTTATCATTAGTGCTTTTTTTTTCCCCTATATAAATATTCAATTTAGAGTTTTAGTTATTGAAAAACAAATATATAGTGAAAATACAGTAGGAAAAAAGTTGGTTGTAAAAATTCATGTTTCAAAGGATTTGTTTGGATATTATGAATTTCATCGTTTGTGTTGCCTCATTTTGTAAATTTAGCTCCTTGAGGGATCATAAGATTCATAACAATGAAATTGTTTGATTAGTGCCTTATGCATGTACACATGTCCATTTTTTAGGTTGCATTTGAATAAGCAGATTCAGCAGCTTGAGGGATACCTTCGTGATGTGGAAAGACAAAAGTCGCATTTTTCTGCATCCACAACCTGCCCTTTTCAATATGAAACACCTCAAGCAGCTTCACTAAGGAGATTTGATTCCCAGGTTCATATCCATAATGGAGTAGAAGGATATGAAAAGTGGAATTCATCATCAATTCCATTCTCTTCTGTAGATAGGCCTAGGGTTCCATCATACTCTGTGGAGAAGGAACCATATATCCCAAAGATTATTGAAGTTAATTATATTGAAGGTTCAAATGACCGAAGGTGGAGTAGTGGGGATTTCCCATGGACTAAAAAGCTGGAGGTATGTATCTGAATTAATTTCCTTTAGTATTTGCATTATTTCTTCTGATTGTGGTTTGCCTTCCTTAAATTTCAGGTCAACAACAAGAAAGTTTTCGGAAACCACTCATTTCGCCCCAATCAGAGAGAGGTCATAAATGCTACAATGAGTGGGCATGATGTCTTTGTTCTTATGCCAACTGGAGGGGGAAAGAGTTTGACTTATCAGGTAAAGAGTTTTTCTTATGCTTTGTTCTTTCTGTTTGGAAAAAAGTTTTCTAGCTTTATAACTTGTTTCTCTATAGTTTTTTCTGTCTCAATCTATGGTTATGTTCAGTTGCACGCTTAGTTTGTTGGCTGAACTTGTACCTAGCAAAATTATTAGTGTTTTCAAACATCTTCTTAGAACTACGGTAGCATATTAAAATGTTTTTGGAAAATAGCTTTCAAATTCAGCTTCTTATTGGCAAACACTATTGATAGTTCAAAAAATTTTGTTAATCTTATGAAATAAAACTTATTATTTTTCACATTATATGATTTTTCACATTTCTACTTTATTGTCTTACAGCTTCCTGCTCTTACATGTCTGGGGATAACTTTGGTAATATCTCCTCTCGTATCACTTATCCAAGATCAAATAATGCATCTATTGCAGGTAACATTTGTTGTGTTACTAATCCAAATACTTGTATTAGTATTGATTATCTATCAGCTTCTTATCTAACAACAGATGTAATTCGTCATTTGGTTTGTGCAATAGGCAAATATACCGGCTGCTTATTTGAGTGCCAATATGGAGTGGACTGAGCAACAGGAGATTCTTAGGGAACTTAACTCTGATTATTGTAAATACAAGCTATTATATGTCACGCCAGAGAAAGTTGCCAAGTGAGTGTTACCTATATCAATTGTATTATTCAACCATTATTCATCAATATGTCCAATAAATATACTTTTGCGGCATTACTTGCCCAGTATTGCTTCAAAGTTAGAAGCTCTAGATTTGGACATGTTTATTTTAAGTGACAAATGTGGAGCAAATTAGGTAGAGTTTGTTTCAGGGAATTTTTTATCACTGAAAAGATAGGATTACCACTAAGATAGATTACTTTGAAGATTAATAGGGGAATGTTATACTAATATGTTTGGTTAGTGTTACAAACAGAGAACTGATTGTAATTTTCTTATTTCTGTATTGATAAATTATACATCAATATATAGGAAAATAAAGAACTAATCTAGGGAATGAATAATCTGATAAATTATACATCAATATATAGGAAAATAAAGAACTAATCTAGGGAATGAATAATCTAACTTCCTATTTTACAGATTTGTTCCTAATATATATTCCAACTCAGCACCCTTTGAGATTTTGAGAAGAGTTGCTCTTTGGAGAGCACAATATGATGGAAGTTGTAAGCTGTGTTCGGCCGGGGGTGGGGGGCGGGGTTGGGGTTATTGTCTATCGTTGGAGAAGACATGAATTGACTTACTGCACTGACAGAGTACGCAATATCAGGACGTGTGACTGTTAGATAGTTCAACTTTCCAACTAGTCTTCTATACCTCTTAGGATCTTTAAACAATTCACCATCTTTGGTAAGTTGCGAATTAGGAAACATTAGCATACTGCATGGCTTAGCTCCCAATCTTCTTGTCTTAGTTAATAAGTCTAAGTACATATTTCCTTTGAGGGAGGAAAATGTCTTTCTTGCTCATTATCTCAACCCCCAAGAAATACTTCAACACTTCTAAATTTTTTGTATGAAACTGGGTGTGAAGAAATGACTTAAGCAATGAAATCACTGTAGTGTCACTCCTAGTGATGATAATATCATCAACATATACGACAAGAAGAATAATGCCAATTGCCGATTGTTTGTAAAAGACTGAGTGATCAGACTTGCTTTTTGTCATTTTGAACTTTTCAACTACCTGATTGAACTTTCCAAACCAAGCATGTGGACTCTGTTTCAAACCATACAACGATTTGCAAAGATGAAAAACTTTCCCATACTCCCCCTGAGCAACAAACCCAGGTGGTTGCTCCATATAGACTTTTTCTTGAAGGTCACCATGTAAAAAGACATTTTTTATGTCTAATTGATGTAATGACCAAGATTGAGTAGCCGCCATCGAGATAAATAAGCGAACATAAGTCAATTCAGCTATAGGGGAAAAAGTGTCAGAATAATCCACTCCATAAGTTTGAGCATAACCTTTAGCTACAGGACGAGCTTTAAGCCTAGCCACTGACCCATTAGGATTTACTTTAACAGCAAACACCCATTTGCATCCAATGTCTCTTTCCAGTAGGTAAGTCAACCAAAGTCCAGGTACCATTAACATTTAAAGCATTTATCTCTTCTATCATAGCATCACGCCAACCAGGATGAGATAAGGCTTCATGAACAGTTGCAGGAAGAGAGACAGTCTAGTGAGGCCACAAAAGAACAAGAAGAAGATGATAGGTGATCATAAGAAACAAATAAAGAGATAGGATAAGTACACTGACGTTTACCTTTTTGAAGAGCAATAGAAAGATTAAGATCACTCAAGGCTGGATCCAACGACGAAAAGTCTTGGGCAGGACATGAATTCTGAAGGTCTTCTTGATGAGGAACACAGGTATCGGGATCACTAGAGACTGGATTTGACGACGAAGGGACTGGTACAGGAGGTTCTTGTCGACGAGAATAGATAATGCGAATTGGAGGTAGTGGACGGAGAGGAGGTGGTGTCGGAGGAGGAACAGTAGGTGGGGAAGCCTCAGGTGTAGGAGTAGTCGGTAGGGATGTGGCAGTGTAGATTAGTAAGTCATCGTCCTCCCCCTGACTTGTATAGGTAGACGAAGTAGGAAAAACAAAGGTGTTTTCTAAGAAAGTAACATCAGGTGACACCATATATCTATTAAGACTAGGACAATAGCATCAATATCCCTTTTGAAGGTCAAAGTAACCTAGAAAAACACATTTAAGAGATTTGGGATCTAACTTGGTTACTTGGGGTTGAATATCACGAACAAAACAAGTATTACCAAATATCTTTGGTGCAATAAGAAACAAAGGCTTAGACGGGAAGATGACACTGTAAGGAGTGAAACCATTCAGAATAGATAAAGACATGCGGTTAATCAGAAAATAGGCCGTGGAAACTACATCAGCCCAAAACTGTTTAGGAACTTGCATTTGAAATAATAGGGCTCGGGCGGTTTCAAGAAGGTGCCTATTTTTCCTCTCGGCTACTCCATTTTGGGGCGGTGTGTCAACACAAGAGGATTGATGAAGAATGCCATGCTGACTCATAAGATTGAAAAGAACTCGAAAAATATTCTTTGACATTATTGCTTCTTAATGTCTAGACAGAAGTATTAAATTGAGTTTTAACTTCAGTACAAAAGACACAAAAATGAGAAAACAACTCATAACGATTTTTCATTAAATAAAACCAAATTACACGAGAGTTGTCATTAACAAAGGTAAAAAAATATTTAAATCCAGGTTTAGACATAATAAAACATGGACCCCAAAACATCTGAATGAACTAACTCAAAAGGGACACTAGCTCGTTTATTGACTTTTGGACTTGAAGGAAGACGGTGGTGTTTAGAAAATTTACATGACTCATAATCCAACGAAGATAAATTATTAAACTGAGGACATAGTTTCTTTAACAATGGTAAAGAAGGATGTTATAACCAACAATGCGTCTTAAAAGAGGTCGAAATACTGGAACATGTAATGGTTCTGGGCACCTGTGTGTCAAGGATGTAGAGCCCTCCAGATTCATGTCTTTTACCAATAATCTATCGCGTCGTAAGATCTTGAAACATGCAATGATTAGGGAAAAATGAGATGCAACATTTAAGAGCACGAGTGAGTTTATTCACAGAAATTAAAATAAAAGCGAACTGTGGTAGACTCAATACAGAGGATAGGGAAATTAACGGAGTAGGGTTAATAGACCCAGACCCAAGAACACAAGAAGTTGACCCATCAGTTAAAGTAACAGTAGACGAGGAATTATGTGACTGATATGTTGAAAAGAGACTAGGATTACCTGTCATATGATCTGTGACACCATAATCAATGATCCATTTGGAGGATGAGGAAATAAGACATGTATTTGGTTTACTGACTCGGCGAGAGCAGTGATGGAAGTAGATGAAGACTTCAATGATTCTTGATACTGAGAAAAGTTGGCAAACTCATCAGCTGAAATCATAACCGTCTTCTTAGAAGTATCAGTAGCAGTAACATGAGTTGACTAAGTTTTCTGGGCCTTATTTTGCAACTTTTTGCACGCGCGCTTTGTGTGACCGGGTTCATGATAGGTAGCACACAATCCCTCTTGACTCCTGACTTTGATTATCACGATTATTTGAACCCCCTCAATTATTGCTCCTGTTATATGAACACCCTGTGTCATTATTTTGACTTACAAGAGCACTACTCGATTGAACAGATGGAGTGTTTTCTGTACGAAGAACCCTAGTAAATAGTCTTGGAGGGAGGTGATCTCAGAACTGGCGAGAACCTGAGATTTAGTAAATTCAAACTTAGAAGGGAGTCCAGCTAGGAAACACATAACTGCCATTTTTTCTCGTTGAGCTTGTTGAACTTTCACAGCAGTACTCACCGGTAAAAGGACGTTAAGTTCTTCATATATCCTTTTAAAGTCCATAAAATAGTAAGAGACCTATCTTGTTTCTCAGCTCGATAAAAGGCTTTGTATACATAAAAAATATGAGAAACATTCCCTTTCCCAGAATACAAAAAATCTAGATAGTCCATTAACTCTTTCACATATTCACAATGATTAATTAAACCAAGTACCTCACTGTTGATGGAGTTTCGTATCTACAAGAACAATTGGGCATCCTCTCTCAATCATATTAGCTTCGAATCATTTTCAAACGGATCTTTTGTGAGATGATCATCTTTACCAATGCTTCGTAGGTAGAGACGAATTGTCTTACTCCAATCGAAATAGTTATCAGACCCATTAAGCTCATGTTCCATAATTTTTGACATTATAGGAACCATATTAGTTATAAGCTTGTTAGCCATGGTAAGAAGACGAAAAATTGATCTCAACATAAATAGCCAACACAACTTACAGACGAAAATCAACAAACTGACCTCAACACAAATAGCCAACAAAACTCTTCAAAGAATGAAATCTGATACCAACAGAAATCAACAAAACTGATATGACCTGGCTGAGATACTGAGGAACTGATCACACAGACTTGCCAGAAATATCAAGACGAAGTCGGGAAGGGTGATCGGAGCACTGTCCTCCGTCACACGCGTCGGTGCGTGAATATTGTCACAGATGAAAAAGGTGGTGCGTGAGACTCACGTGTTGCTCCTCCAGTGACCAGACTTCAGGGAATGGTTGATTGGCAGGAGGGGCTTCGTCCTAGGCAGGCGGTGAGAAAAAAAAGGCCACTTTCTAGGGTGACTCACAAAGAATGCTCACTTGGGCAGAGAAAAAGAAAACGAAATTGAGAAACAACCTAGAATTGCTCTGATACCATGTTACAAACAGAGAATTGATTGTAATTTTCTTATTTCTGTATTGATAAATTATATATCAATATATAGGAAAATAAAGAACTGATCTAGGAAATGAATAATCTAACTTCCTATTTTACAGATTTGTTCCTAATATATATTGATTACAATCTTAATATTCTATTATAGATTTATACACTTAATCATGCAATATCTGTAAGATTTTGCATGATTATCTACAACAATTAGATTGGTGAGTATAAATAATTAATATGTTTGGTTGGGAGGAATAAAATTTTATCGGAGGGGTTTTTACTGAATTGCCCTTCCTTGTTAATATTATTGTTATATTATTTAGTACGTTATTTTTAATCTCTTACATTTGAGAATTTAGCTAAAACACCCCAACAACAAAAGTTTAAAATTTAACAAAATACACCCAGCCACTTAAGATGATTGTTGGCCGCTAGCCACCACCGTCGACAGTCGTTTTAACGACGCGCGCGCGACCGACAGGATTTGGATTGCTGTGCACTGATCTGGTCATTTTCGGCCAGATCGAAGGTTAGAAACGATCAGATGGTCGTGGATTTGGTCGTAAAGCCAGATCCATTCTGGCCATTAACGACTAAATCCATTCTGGCCATTAACGGTCAGATCTATGACCGTTAACAATTATGGATCTGACTGAAAATGGCCAAATCTATTTTGGTTGTTAACGGCCAGATTTGTGGCCGTTTACAACCATGGACTTGGTTGGAAACGGCCAAAATGGATTTGGTTGTTTCTGGCTAGATCCATCGCCATTTTCGGCCTTCGATCTAGGCAGAAACGGCTCGATTGGCTCATGGCTGGCCAAATCCGGCCGGTCATGCACTGTTTTGACGACCAACGGTTGACCATTGTCTTGGGTAGCTAGGGGTATTTTGGGTATTATCCAAGTAAATAGTGAGGTTATTTCTATCCAAAAAATTAATATATGAGGTTAAAGAAGTCATTTCACACGTTTGGGCTAATTGTTATTTAGTAGACATATGAGGGCATTTGTGTCTAAAATGTTTATTAATTAAGGGTAAAATTGGTATGAATTGTTGATTGCCCCGCTAATGGAAAAATAAAACCCTCCTAGACAGTAATCGAAATACCCCCGTTTTTCCCTATAGTAACCACTTTTGACATTGAAAGTTTATTGTAATCTTTCATTACTTGACATCCAAACGTAATAATTACCGGAAAATAACATAGATTGCCGATGTTATCTTTTATGCTCCCGAAACAAACGTATACTATACTTATAGTAATGAAAAACAACATGAGAAATATAATAATCTAAGAAAACATGAGTAATAGTTTGTATATTAATTAAGGGAGTGCTGAGAATTAGTCTTTTGTTTTCTGGCTCAATTCATCACATGAACTGGCAGAATTAGTTTAGACACTAACCTTTTTAACATATATGGCAATGATAAATTTGAAGTACTTTAGCTGGTAAGGTCTCTGTAGTCTTACAAGAGGTTTGTGATTTGATTTGACGTACACAAGACTGAGATGAGGGATTTCGGTTTGGATTGGGGGTAAATTTTTTTGTAATTTATGCAACTTTACTTTTAAGGAAAATTATGATCAATATTTATTAGCATGTGGAATGTGAAAAGACTCTGGAATCAAATAAAGCATGTACTGTTTATACAAACCAGTAATATAATGTGTTGATGAAAAGCTGGTTATTGTAATGCTTCATGTTTTTTCTTTGCTAAATCATTTGGAAAATTTTGTTGCTTGATTGCAGAAGTGATGTTCTGTTGAGACACTTGGAGAGTTTAAATGCCCGTGAGTTGCTTGCCAGGATTGTTATTGATGAAGCTCATTGTGTGAGTCAGTGGGGACATGATTTTAGACCAGATTACCAGGTTGTGGCTTTTTAATTTATATCCTTTTCCACTTGGTGCCATGGATATTGTAGCTAACAGCAGTTAATTCTGTAAAATGTACAGGGCCTTGGTATCTTGAAACAGAAGTTTCCAAATACTCCAGTGTTAGCTTTAACAGCTACTGCAACAGCCAGTGTGAAAGAAGATGTTGTGCAAGCTCTTGGTCTCGTCAACTGCATTATTTTTCGCCAAAGTTTTAATCGCCCTAATCTATGGTAAGTTTTGTATGAAGATGAACTTTTGCTGAATATTGAACCAATGCTCATGATAAAGATTACAGGTATTCTGTTATACCAAAAACGAAGAAATGTGTGGAAGACATCGACAAGTTCATTAAAGAAAACCATTTTGATGAATGTGGTATTATTTATTGTCTTTCAAGAATGGACTGTGAAAAAGTTGCTGAAAAGTTACAGGTTGGTTTTTTTTATGGTCACTTTTTACATCTTAAGGGGTTTTTTACTATGTTTGATAGATGTGATATCATGAATTGGCTGGAAGTTTGTGTTAATATTTATGTACTCAACATATTATTGGTTCTTTAAATTTTCTTTGATCTTATTGAATTTCAGTTTAAGCTTCTATAATTTTCCTGCATCTATGCTTGGAATGTGAGATGCTAAAGAGGAAATTTCATTATATTTCACTGTAGCTCAGTTGTGACGGTTTCAATTATTGTTCCTTTTGTTGTGTTTTAATTCCACAGCTTGGAAACTTTAAATCATTTGCATTTTCATGGCTTCTCTGGAAAGATGTATACTTGGCCCTCTAAATCTTATAGCATGGTGTTTAATTCTTTCTTCTGTTAACCTTTTTTTTTTTTTACCTGTTCTTAGAGTCGTACTGCTATATCTGTAAACTAGGAAAATCTTTAGCTTTGGCTTTGAAATCAGTGTTCCATTCATACTTCCAAGTTATGTCTGCTTAATATAAATGCATTCATTGTTCAGGAATATGGACACAAAGCAGCTTTTTACCATGGTAACATGGATCCTGCACAACGTGCCTTTATCCAGAAGCAGTGGAGCAAAGATGAAATTAATATAATTTGTGCAACAGTTGCTTTTGGAATGGGTATCTTTGATATTGTTGCTGATTGATTGATGTCTTGATTATTTGTTTTGTGGAAAACAATCATATTTAATATTGGTTATTTTCAGGTATCAACAAACCAGATGTCCGCTTTGTAATTCATCATTCTCTTCCAAAATCTATTGAAGGTTACCATCAGGTAATGGCTAAGAAGAAATTGTTACATTTTCAAATTGTTTTTGTTGAGTCAATATTTGAGAACTGGTATACAACTGAGTAAGAATACCATAAAAATTATAATCAGTCCTTAAGCTTCTTTTGCGTTTTCCATGTTGTAGGAGTGTGGACGTGCTGGTCGTGATGGTCTGCGTTCATCCTGTGTATTGTATTACAGTTACAGTGACTATGTATGTTACTCCTGTCAAACTAATGCATCTTGCTCATTCCTGCTAATTCTTTATCTTGGATGATGGAAGTTTTCATTTGGAGCTTTGATAAGCTGACAATATTAAGATTGATCACTTCTTCTCTCCCTATTTCCTTCTGTTTATTTTCACTCTCTTTCTCTTATTAGTTATGTAGGTTTCTACTTGGATTTATTCCTTGCATGTTTATTGTCCATTCTTTTGCAGATACGAGTCAAGCATATGATTAGCCAAGGAGTTGCTGAGCAAAGTCCATTTACACCTGGACACAATCGTACCAATGTGCCAAATTCAGGAAGGATACTGGAAACGAATACTGAAAATCTTCTGCGTATGGTATTTTATATAAACTTTACTGGCTGTTTGTTGTAATTAGTCCCATGTTACCTCATCCAAATTAGATATATTGTAATTTATGCTTTTCACTCTTTCAGGTCAGTTATTGTGAAAATGATGTTGATTGTCGACGTCTTCTTCAGCTTGTTCATTTTGGAGAAAAGTTTGGTAATGGAAACTGCAAAAAAACATGTGACAACTGTTCCAAGATTAAAAGTTTTACTGAAAAGGATGTCACTGAGACTGCAAAGCAAATGGTTCGATAGTTTTTTTTCCTTCTCTACTGATACATTTTCTTGTCATGTTAGACTTATATTGAATTTGAGTTCTCCAATGTTAACATGCTGTATTTGCATTGCTTGTCACCCCTTACATTTTGTATATGTGTGCTTAGGTTGAACTGGTGAAGTTAACAGGGCAGCAGTTTTCATCAGCTCATATTTTAGAAGTCTACAGGGGTTCCTTGAGCCAGTTTGTAAGTCTAAACAATAAATTATATGTTTGGTACTTTTTTTCATTTCCTTGTGTGTTGTTTTCATAAATTGCATACTTTTGATGCCAAAACTAGGTCAAGAAACACAGACACGAGACTCTCAGCCTGCATGGAGCTGGAAAACATCTAGCCAAGGGTGAAGCCTCCCGTATATTGCGTCATCTTGTCACTGAGGATTTTCTTGTTGAGGAAGTTAAGAAAAGTGATATTTATGGATCTGTATCATCAGTGTTGAAGGTATTTGAAACTGCTCTATTTCTTTCAGTGCTAAGTTACCGAATATGATTGTTGTAGGTGAAAACAGGAAAAATTGCTTCTCTAATTTCTCTCTAAGTTTAAATATATACATTTTAAATATTTTCTTTCTTAATTTAATTTGATTTAGGTGAATGAACCCAAGGCCCACAATCTCAGAGCTGGCAGGCAGACTATTGTATTAAGGTTCAGCTTTCAGATAACTTTTCTAGTTGAAATTACAATTTTACTAGTCCCATGTTAATTCTTACTGGAATTATCTATATCAGATTTCCTTTTTCTGTGGTTGCTTCAGTAGTTCTTTAGTTCTTCTATTTATGGAAATTTGGTGTTTATAGTCCACGAAGACAACCTAACGCCTTCGTTGACTAGAATGTTTAGAGCTGGGATCTGAAGAACCCACCAATTTTAGCTCTGTGCTTGCTCAGATTCTTTGGTTTATTTTGCTTTGAATTATTTCAATGTCAGAAGCGTGCAAAAATTTACATTTCCAGTCAGCTAGAATATGTGTAATGTACAGCTACATTTTCATGCTGGTAACTTTTGTGCTTCACAGATTCCCTTCCTCTGTAAAGGCATCTAAACTGAACAAATTAGAAGTGACTCCTGCAAGAGGCTCACTTATGTCTGGGAAGTTAAGTCCTTCACGAACTGACTCTGCTGCACAGCCTCAAAATGAAGTAGACTTGGTAAATTGATTTATCCATCTTTAATGCTTTGTCTTTGTTTGCTTGACGAGATATGTTTGCCATAAACAGCTGAATCAACCTTTCTTTTTTTCACTTGACAACAGAATCTCTCGGCCAAACTATATTCTGCTTTGAGAATGCTTCGAACTCTTCTTGTTAAAGAAGCTGGGGAGGGAGTCATGGCATACCATATCTTTGGGTGAGCTAAAAGCCACTTCATCGATTTTGTTTTTGAGATTATTTCAATTTGCTGACAAAATGGGGAAAAGAAAATATATTTGAAAGGGCATGGGTAATTCAGGGTGGAATGCTTTTTAATGCTGGTATATTTGTGTAAGTTTACTCTTTCCTTTTCTTTTATACGTCATGATAAGTTGATGTTTTGTCTTGCTTAGGAATGCTACGCTGCAGCATATAAGCAAACGAGTTCCTAGAACAAAGGAAGAACTACTTGATATTAATGGCATTGGAAAGTAAGTTTTGCTGTTGGGTTAAGTTTTAGTTGCTCAGGAAAGTCTTCTTATATATTTTGGCTTCATGCAGGGCCAAGGTAAGCAAGTATGGGGATCGTCTGTTGGAAACCATTGAATCGACCATCAAGGATTTCTATAATCCCAACAGAAACAGCAGCAGTAGCAATGACAGTAATGATTCCATAAAGAGAAGAAGAGATGATAACATGATTCCAAATGCATATATGGAGGATGATGACTTCACTAAAAGTACCGCTCGATCAAAGAAAAGGGCAGTTAATGGGCAAAACAAAAACACCGAGGTTTTTCATTCTGTGGACACAAATTCTTACAACCAGTGTGTAGATGACCTGAATTTTGATGATTATGATTATGATTATGATTACGAAATTAATGGCTCAGCAACAAAGCCGGATCAAAATATTGGAGGAAGAGTCCTACCTTCATGGTAATAGCCAGGATATAGGTAAATCCTATTATCTTAATTTGTTTCCAGAATTCACCTTGAACGGTAGGTGTAGTATTATTATCTTTATATACAGTTTTTATCTCTAGCATCTCGCTGTTTCTTCTTATATTGAAGAAAGAATACTTTTAATCATCATGCTTGTGAGGCATCAGAAGTAAGGTTTCATTTCATCAAACATAGCAGTTGAGTCTCATTTTGTTTATATTTGTATAAGTGTATGTTGTTAATTGTTAATGAAAGGTTTCTTTTTGTTCTTTTGATGTGTGTTGCTGCTAGAATTATTTAGTGAATTAATTAGAAAAGTCTGTTGAATGATTATAAGTTATTATAACCAGAGATCAAAGGACAAAATTTTTGAAGTTGGGTTAAGGAATTAGGAATTCTGAAATTCCTACTGTAATGAGATTTTTTTATGTTGAGTTGTTTTAATGTGTCCCCTTAAGGCATATTATGTATTGAAAAATGTTTTTATTTTATTTTTGTCTTGTAAATAAAATTTTGTCCGTTTGTGGTCTTTTTGGCAACTGGACGTAGCACTAGGCGAGGCTTTTTTTGACCACGTGTTGTCGCAAACTGTGATGTTGCAGATTTCCTGGTTGGGTTTGTTGATTTTTTCTGGTTTCATATTAAATAATGTTACAAAGTTTACACAAATGAATTTGTGGTTTCTTTAATTTGGGTTTGGGTTGTGAGTTTGCATGTGAAGTAAATCTGAGATTGATTTGTGATTTTGGAGGGATTTATGAATTAAATCTGAATTGCCTGAAGGTTTGAGTCGAGGATTCTTTTTTTTTTTTTTTTCCCATAAAATGAATGGTTAAAGGAGAGAAGGATTTAGGGATATTAAGTTGGGAGTGAAGGAACTAAATATTATGTTTGTTGTAGAATTTTTTTTTTTTTTTTTTTTGTCCAGTTATGTTGGATCAAAGAAAATTTAAGTAACTTTTGTATTTTGTTGTTTGAGTTAAAGAATTATTAAGTTGGGAGATGAAGCAATCACTGTTTTAACAACCGGATCGGACCAGCCGGTCCAACCAGTTGGACCGTGAACCGGTCACGTGTCTGGTTCGAGTTACCCTCAAACCCGCTAATATGCATTGAGCCGTTTTAAACAGGTTGAAAATCGGATAATATGAGTGAATCGTCGGTTCAACCGGATCGACGAAAAAATCGGTCCACAATTTAAATCCGTAATACGAGAGAATCGTCTTCTCTTTCACGTAGCCCATTCTTCTCTTCTTCTCTGTCATGCAGCGTCGCAGCCTTTCTTCTCTTCTTCTCTGTCACGTAGCGTTGCAGCCCTTTTTCATCTTCTTCTCTTTCAGTCCTTCTCATGAAATTCTCACGGTTTCGGTTGTCTTCTGTTCTCTCTGAAATCCCACCCAAATCGCATCTGAACTCGTTGGAAATCGACGACGATGTCTTCCTCCCTTCCCGGAAATCGACGACGTCTTCCTCCTTCACTAGAAATCAACGGCGACAGCTCTATTCGTCGATCCAGGTAACGTCATTCCTTGCTCCCTTTACATTTGAGTTAACACCCTTTTCATTTTTCAATCTATAGAGCTGTTGTGGTTGTATTAACATGATCTCGAGGGTGGTTCTGCTTTGATTCAAGTATATTTGCACAAAAAAAGTGCAGGGAATTTAATTAGTGCATTGCAGTATTGCACCAAACAAAGCCTAATCAATAATGTCACTCTCCATGATTCTTAGCTCATGTGTTACGTTTCTAAATTTGATTCCTATCTTATCATATGATCTATTTGAATTTTAAAATAAACTCTCAGTTTCTTCACACAAACTCCATATCTGCCTGCATTTGAAGCTCTTTCTTACTCTTTCTTAGCATGAAGCGATCACTATTTGAAAGTAACAGCAAACCGGATGGAATTAATGACAACGTTAATTAAAGTCTCAACTCCATTGTTTCAAGGACTATATATGTGATATGTTCCCCACAAATAATTAGAACCAGATATTATAGGTGTTGGGATCTTTTAATTTTTGTAGAACCAGATATTGATGTTAAAAATCAGTCCTTGATTGATTCCACTACAGAAAGTTCAATGCTTTACGATTGATTGGATGTAGAGTTTGCAATATTTTTTTGAAAATGTTGATACATGACCAAGAGTTTAAACAAAGATGAAAATTGCTTTTGCTGAGAGACTGTAGATGATTAAGTAATTGGATTAGCTAGTATAGATTTTCAGGTCATAAAAAGCTTCCTTTAGCTGATAGTTGTTATGATAGTTTTTTTGCATTTTGAGGCTTGCTCCTGTTAGCATAAGCTTTATAGTAATCATATTCTTTCGTGGCTGTGGTTGTGAGTGACGACAAGTTTTGTTTTATGTTACATTTATATGCCATATAAAAACAATTAACAATGTATTTTGTATTTGATTCTTTTGATTATACCAAAAAGTTTACTCACAGATGATCTTGAAAAAGATTAAAAATTGTTGGTTGCATTTATCTTGAGATTACACAGTGGTGAACTTGCAATTGGATCAACTTATAATTTCTATTTTTTACTTAAATTTGCGTAGATGGTGGTGATGGTTATGATGATGATGATGATGATCATGATGATAGTGATGAATTTTGATGCTAGTGTGTGAAACTCAATCAACATGGAGACGGATCAAAGAAAAAGCACTCGCATCAAATGTTTTGTTATTAATTAGTATGTATTTTGACATTTAATATGTAAATACAATATCATGTTTGGATTTGAACTTTGAATTGTTGTTAAATACTTAAATTATGTTAGGATTGTTGTTGAATTTGAACTTTGAATCATATTGGATTGAACAGTAATTAAATTGTTATTGTCTTATTAAAAAATAGAAATCTAAAAAAAAAAAAAAAATTTTTTTTAAAATGTGCTGACCTCATCATGATGTGTGATGACATCACCGGTCCAACCGATGGTCCAACCGGTTGGACCGGTTGAACCGTGACCCCGCCATCAGAGCGGGTTGCCCACCGGTCTGGTTTTTAAAACAATGGAAGCAATTAAACTTACTTGAAGAAATAAGAAAGAAAAGGGTGTAGAAAATAAAATGAAATGGAATAAAAAATGGGGGAGGAAGAGAGGAAAAAGAAAGAGTTGGGGTAGAAAGGAAAAAAGAAAAGTGGAGGGGAACGAAAAAAAATTCAGAGATGACTTTTGAAATATTGGTAAAAGCAAAAAGTCGATCGGATAATTTTTAGTTTTATCCAATGTTTTAAAAACCAATCTTGGGTTAAATCCAACAAAGTGGTTGCGTTTTAGGTTAATTGGTTTGATCAGTGGGTTAAATTGGTGACATCAACATAAAAAAAATTAAAAATTTTATATTTTAGCGCACATTAGCATGCATTGATGCTAGCCTTTTTCCCCTTTTTTTTGATTGTTTTCTCACCCAAAATTATGAGTGAGTATGGGTAAATGGTAGAACTGGAACTAGCGGGTAGCCACCTGTCGGTTTTGGGTAGGGATTGGAATTGGTCCCCATAGGATAGGTTTTAGTTCCAAATTTGGTGGAATCGGTATTGTGCGGTTCTTGTTTAAGTTCCATCACTTCAGAACCGAGAATTAGAACAAAAAAAAAAAAAAAAAAAAAAAAAATATCACAGCCACACTGGCTTGTTGGGGTTGGGAAGAGTTGGCTGGAGAATTTGTTCGAGCAGGTGGTGTGCCAAAAAATTGCCAATCTTCAAAACTTCAACACCTGAATTCAATCCAATCCAAATCAGCACAAACTATTCAAAATCAATCACAAACAAACTCTAATCAATCAAAATACACAAACTTCTCGTAAAAAACCCAAAATCAACCATTAACCGAATTTCACCAAAGTCGCAAAGAACCCTAAGGGTGTGTTTAGTTGTGGATAATGGAGTATTAATGAGGTAATGTCATTTTATATTACTTAATTACTCGTTTGGTTGTCAAGTAATAGAAGATTTCGGTAATCTTCCAAAATCAATAGTACTTACTATTAGTAAAATAGGAGGTAATCCGATTACCTTTATTTTCTTAGATATTTTAAGAAATCTTAGTTTTGTTATAATTTTACTTTTTATTAATAAAATTTTAGAAAAAAATACTCTTATTTTTAAATTAATTTACATGAACTTGTCATTACAATTTTACCACTAATTAATTAAGTTTTTAGACATTAATGCCCTTGTATTTAAAACAAATTCCAGCCTATCAAAACTATCATCATCATTGGCCAACCACCACCGTTGGCCGCTAGCTACCTCCGTCGATATGGCCAATTTTGGCCAGATATTTGGTTGGAAATGGCCATATTGTGAAAAATCTGGTCGTTAGATCTGGTCGTTTCTGCCTAGATTTTTCACGATCTGGCCATTTTCAGCCAGATATCTAGTCAAAAATGGCCATATCGACCGGCAAGGTTAGGCTGGCCGTGCGTCGTTTGTTTGTTGGCAGCCAGCAGTGGCTGGTGTCTTCGTTGATTTTTAAACTTTTATTATAGGGGTGTTTTAGCTAAAATTTTAAATGTAGGGGGTTATAAATTAGTAATCTAAATAATAATATATTAATAATATTTAAAAAGAGGGCAATTTAGTAATTAAAATAACATGCCTATCATTTTATTCATCCTAACCAAGCATATAAATATGACATACTCATCAATTTATTCCTCCCAACCAAACACATTAATATAACATTTTCGGGAATTCAAGGTAATCTTTCTCCCTTTTAATATAACATTTCTAGTAATACAATATTCTCTAATCCAAATGTATCCTAAAGGAATTGACAGATGGTGAACGACAGGTAACTAAGTTAATTGCCATCTAGATGTTTGAGTTTTTTTATGATAATCAAGAAATAATCTATGCTGTTTGAGCTAAAATTTATGAATACATGAACAAAAACATGATAAATATGGATAAGGCTGCATATGGCATCTTATTTTACTAGTTAGGGCGTGTTTAGCTGGGGGTAATGAGGGATTACTGAGATAATTTCATCTTATATTACTTGATTACGACGTCTAGTTGTCAAGTAATATAAGATTTCAGTAATCTTCTAAAACCAATAGTAATTATTGTTGGTAATATAAGAGGTAATCTGATTACCTTTATTTTCTTAAGTATTTTAAGATTACTTGGTAATCTTAATTTTGTTACAATTTTATCCCTTATTAATAAAAATTTTGGACAAAAATATCCTTATTTTGAAATCAATTTACAAATATATTTATGAACTA